TCCTACACATTGTATTAGTAAACACAAGAAGAGTGTTAAACTTTTTTTTCCAGCACTCGCTAAATGTCAGGTGCTTTTTATGGCATCTCTCTGAAAGAAAAAAATCTTTGCCGCTCTTTCGTGACCATTTATTTATATGGGCCATTCTGCTCACAATTGGTAATGTGACAGCAATATCGCAGATACTGATATATAAATAGATTCCAGTAGAAGCAATAATTGTGGCGGATTAAAACGAAATTGGATTAAAACGAAATTTTGAAACCCACATATACTCTTTTACTAACAAATGGTATCCTAAATTCCCAAAAAGATTTTGTTTTAATCTGTCACAATAATTAAACACGAAGATTGTTAACATGTGACTGTATTTACCCACACCTACATGCAGTTGATAGGGAAGATAACTAAGGTTTTTGTTTATTAGTAAAGGCTGTGTAGCTTGCGCAGAACTATCATGGCTTATGAAATAATGACTGATTGGACAATCCACAACTAAATTTATACGAATCAGTTTATACTTGTTTTCGAGCAGACGTTATGTTATTATATTGTTTACTACAACTTTATTTACTTTATTTGGCCAAAGCTTATGAGCACCCTACTTTCCCTTTAACGTCAGGGAAGGTAAACTAATCTTAATAAACGATACACAATACGTTCTTACATACTATCATTATGATTGTTTTGTTCGGCAGTAAGTAATATTTCCCTTCTTTTTCTATCCTAGCGTTTAGCCTTGGCAAGTCCGATAGTTGACTCATCCATGTTGAAGTAGGCATAATTGTTCTTTAAGAAAGTATCGCCCAAAAGAAATGACTAATACAATAAACAAATAATAATAATTAGGTTAAATGACCGACGACAAACTCGATTAAAACGGTTAATTTCACGCCCCAACCTCCAATCAACTTACCACATCGCCAAGGTCACCTGGGATAATAACGCTCACACACTCTTTTCCTTCTTGAAAAATCAAATCGGGGCCTGGGATGGTGAAAGACGCAGCTCCGAAAGTAAACGTCATATCTGGCAGCGTTGCGTCGCATGGTATTAAATACGCCTGTGCCGCAGACGAGAAAACACCACCTAATGCTGTGTTAATCTGATCCGCTATAGTGGTCCGTGCAAGAATAAGTGATGATCCAGTATCTAACACAGCAACATCGTTCGCTCGTGTAAGTGCAATGTCCTGACCGCCAACAGATATTTTGCTTAATTTGACCGTCCAAAGCC